GGGAGCTTCCTTCCTCAAGGTAGGGTTTCTGTGAACTGGCAAATCTGATTGAGTAAAGGCATGCAAGTTAGTTCCATATGGTGAAGGGTCTTAACACCAGGATGAAAAGCTTGAGATTAATTTACAAAACCGTGATGCTAGCAAGTATTAGATGTGAAAATGACAAGACATGCCATATGTTTTAGCACCTTTATGCTCGTAGCTTTGTTATAATTGAATTCTAAAAAGGGAGACAATTAATTGCAGTAAGTGAGCAACCCTTTGTTTTCTTTAATCTGTACCTTTCTTTAGGTGGACTCATGATATTATAATTATGTAGTTTTGGAAGAAAAATCTATTGAGTTTTAAATAATTAATTGTTTCATGTATTCACTCATATATTTATTGAATATTTGCCATCCTATCATATGGCAGGTATATAATGATGCTAAATGCAGTTACTACCTGCAAGGAGCACTTGGGAGTAGATTGGTAAAGGCTTCATAGAAGAGGTAAATATGTTGGAGGATGAAGAGAGGAAATTCCTAGTAGAGGGTCTAGTATATGTGGCGTCTACATGGTATAGCAAGAGAGAGCACGGTGCTGGTAGGCAATGCCAAGCTGCTAATAGGACTCATGTGCTGGATGTGAGGCAGAAAGGAGTCAAGAATGGGCAGGCAAAGCCAGACTGTAGAGGGCCTTGGAGGTTGTGTAAAGAGCTAGAGACTTTATCCTGAAGGCAAAGAAAGTTATTGAATTGTTTTAAATAGGTTCAGGTAAAATAATCATGTACTGTTTTAGTTTGGAAATAGAAGGAAAAGAGACAAAAGGCAGTTGCCATGGTTCCAGTGAGGTCTACATAAGGCTGTAGAATCAGAAATAAAGACAAGGCAGAGAGAAAGATACAAGAGTTCAGCAGTTCAACTGTATGTCAAGTGCAATTAGAACTTCATTTTATTATCGACATGCCACTTTTGGCCTGTGGACAGGATTGGTAGGTGGAGTCTTCTTAAGAAGGGAATAATCCAGGGCTGACTGAGAAAAGATAGTGGTGGGAGGACCCCGATGCAGTTGGCCTCTGTGTCTATGGGTTTCACCTCTACAGATTCAACCAACTGTGGATCAAAAAATAACAGTATGCTAATAAAAATAATCCAAAAAAATACAGTATAACAACTGTTTACATAGCATTCACATTGCATTAGTTTTATAAGTGACCCAGAGAAAGTTTAAAGTATACAATGGGTTGCACATAGGTTATATGCAAATACTGCATATTTTCATATAAAGAACTTGAGGATCCTCAGATTTTGGTATCCTTGAGGAAGCCTGGAGCCAATCTCTTTTGGATACTGAGATAATTGTACACACATATTGATTCTGCGAATTCCTCAAAGTATGCCCTAATTTATAGATTCTCATCATTTCCCAAAATGCCTATATCTTAGGAACAGATAGCATGTATCATATTTTAGATACATGAAAGTAATTTCATATTTATTTTAATACAGTGACTAAATGCTCTGCTGGCAGCATCTGTTTGGTGCATTTTGCTCTTCTTAGTTGGGTGAGTGCTCTAGACCTTAACCCATGATTAGGGAGGAAAGATTATCTCCTGGGCCCTTCACACCCTCAGAGGTAATGGCACTAACATAGGAAAAGGGAAAAACTGTATTAAATTGTAATATTCAATATATACCAGTAATAAAAGATGAATACTAGTCATGAGAGCACCTCTTGTAATTGCAAAAGTCAAATGTGACTTGAGTATTACAAATGTAATAGTTTTTCCTTTCTTAAACTGTGTATACAGTTTTTTGGCACCCTCTGTATACCTGTGCTCTTTCCTCCTTGGCAGTGTATTCAGGAGTTGGGTATCTTGAGAGAAGCTTGTGCAGATGTTTATATGAGTGATGTGACTTTTGCCAATGTTTCTGTTACAGTCTTGTGAGATAATGTGAAGGAAGTATGGATGATATAATGTGAAGACAGTGTGGACAAACTTTGAGGTCTGCTTGGTCAAGTTACTCTGTCCACCACCTTTGAAATGCTGATGTACCTACATGTAAAATTCATGTTGACCTAAGGGAGACCCTCTACTGTAGAGTTAGCCTTGCTGAGAGGAAAATCCCACTTTCAACCAGGTGCAGTGGCTCGTGTTTGTAATTCCAGGGCTTTGAGAGGCTGATGAAGAAGGATTGCTTGAGGCTAGGAGTTCGAGACCAGTGTAGACAGTGAAATCCCATCTCAATAAAAAATTTTAAAAAAATTGGCCTACTCTGATAGCTCATGCCTGTAATCCTAGCTACTCAGGGGTTGGGGTGGAAGGATCTCTTGAACCCAGGAGTTTAGGTTGCAGTGAACTGTGATCATGCCCCTGCCCTGCATCCAGCTGGGACAACAGAGGAGGCCCTGTCTCTCTCTCTCTCTCCCTCTCCCTCTCTCTCTCTCTCTCACACATACACACACACACAAATACACACACACACACAGTGGCTTGGTTATTGCTCCCTATGCACCTGCACTTGCTCTCAGGGAGCAGAGAGCAGCTGGCTGCAGTCTCAGTGGCTTTGGGGCGCCTCCCTGCTGTCCCCTCCGTGCACCCTGGCACCACCGCTCTCCTTCCCCAAGCCGCCGGTTATGATGGGGTCCATAGAAGTAATGGAAGGACCTCCCCACCTGCCTCATCAACAGAGCAGACAGCAGACCATTTGTTGGCTACAGGAAAATACGAAGTGGCTATTTCTTGTCACAAAAAGACTGAGCTTATATTTCCTAAGCCATGATGCTGACACAACCTGACAATTCATTCATCACTGGAATTGCAAAGGGACAGCCACATGAAAGAGCTGCTTCTCATCCAGGAAAAGGATGGAAAAGGACAAAGCGTGGGGAGAGGTGGAAAGCTCAGCAGAACGCAGACGGGGATGTGTCTGTCCACCCGTCCAGGCGGCTCACAAGCTCTCTGCTGCGGACAGAGGGGCAGAAGGAAAGCCCTTCCCCAGAGAGACACCCGCCTGAAATTCACGGGGTCTATGACAGGGACCCAGACTCGCTGCTGTTTGTACTTCATTTAGCAAAAGAGTGAGCCAACAGAGCCATGTGCAGAGAGCAAAGCCCCCAAAGATGGTAAAACTGTCATCGAGGAGCGGGCAGCCAACACTGCAGCTTTGAAGAGACGTGGGGAGCTCTTTGTGGCTGAGAATGAAAGGTTAAGGAAAAAAACGACTAAGGGCTGAAAAGGCCAGACTTCTAAAATAGAAAAGGACCCGGAAGTAGATGCTGATTTGTAGGAAAGTCAGTTAAGGAGCTCGCTGCTGCCTTCAGAAACCTCTGCGGCCTCTTCTGCCTGGCACATACTGGGAATACTGCACATACCAGGAATGCCCAGGACGTTCCAATACCAAATCTTCCTCCCTTGGGTTTTCTATCTCTGGAATTTCCCCTCCTGGATCTCTCTGAGGATGTTTTGAAAGAACTCAAAATAATTAAAATGGAAGTTCATAGAAGGGGTAATAATACAGTTAATTCAGAAAAAAAAGGGGGAGGACCGCATGCCAGGGTAGTCCCAGAAGTGCTTCACCATCCAGCCGACTGTGGGAGAGGGCCTTGCCAGGACTCGGAAACTGGCTGTGAAGTGTGGTGCGGCTCTTAGTCACCCACTGGAGCTAAGGATTCCGACTCAGCAGACACTAAATTCTTAGAGTTTCACTTTCTCCTGATGAAAACCAAATGGCTACCTTGAATAATTTTTTTCAAGCAACAATTACTTTTCTTATCCTCAGGGTGAAAATATATAAAAGTCTGTTATGTATAATTAATCTATAAGGTCATAAATGATAATGCAAATCCTAAATCAGGCATCCTCAAACTATGGCCTACGGGCCCCATGCAGCCTGCGTAGGACATGTATCCGGCCCGCCAGGTGTTTTTGCTGCTGCTGCCTGTCCCGCTTAGCAGCTGACTGGTCCCGGGGCCCGCAGTCCGGCCCTCCAACGGTCTGAGGGACAGTCAACTGGCCTCCTGTTTAAAAAGTTTGAGGACTCCTGCCCTAAATGGTCTGGTGGCCCAAAGGGCGGCCTAATATTTTTGGAACATGCTTTTTGCCATGCATTGACTGTATACATTTTGTCATGCACATGTTGTTTGTTTAAATAAGATGTGTAAGATACACTCTTTTCTTTTTTATTGTTATTTTTTATTAGATAGACACTTTTCTAGCTGAAGCATGTGCCACACTTGACACTACTCATAATGATAACCTCAAGACTATCCGGAGAAATATTTAAATTTCCATTTTATGAAGAAAAGGAAAAAATTATTAGTTATGTTTTTTAAAACATATTACCACTTAACATAATTAATCAGGGTACATTTTAAGTTCTCACTTAGTTTATTGTATAATATATAATTTGAAAATACCAAGGAAGTGTCCTTTGTTTTTAATGATGCATCAGTGGAAGGTATGCTAGTTGGCAGGAATCGATTGTAAGAAATCAGTCAAGTAAATGTTCTAAACACACACACGCACACACACACACACACACACACACACACAAACAGCAACAACAAAAAACCTAAAAAAGCAAGAGAGAAAAAAAAGGAAAAGGAAAGATAATCCCATTCTCTACTTTAAATAGTACAGCTGGAACCTTTGTAACAGGATAGGGGCCCTCGGAGGGAGGGCTGTAGCTATAAGGCTTGTATGCTACTGAGAACGTATTGAATGTAACACATCTAACTGGTCAGGAAGGGTAAGCTTTTTCCTAATCAAGATGATTATAGTGCAATTTCAATTTTAAAATCACAGCTTGTGCTGAAACATCATGTTCTTGGGGGCAGAGTTGATTGCTTGTACTTGTAGAGGACTCCTATTACCAATTATTTATATTCAGTGATCTTCAGAAAACTATTTCCTAAATTCTTTTGTTCCTTTAATTAATACTTTAACATAGAATCAAACAGTAAGAAACCTTCTTTGTGACGTCCTTTATCTCTTGCAAATCTCATTTTCCTTTCAGATATTATCAGACGCAACACAACCTCTGGAGAGTCAGAATTTTTCTCCCGTGGTGCGAGATGTAAGTTACAAGAATTTATTTTGATAAATGTACTTTTTCTACTATTATCGCCTCCCCCCCAGTCTGTGTTATTCTGTCTCTTTTCTATCAGTTATGAGCCCATGTTTGTGGGACTAACATGTGGATACTAAAGAAATGTCTTGTGTCGTGTACATCTAGGCAGTGATTGCGTCCAACGGTGCGTTACCCGATAAATATAAATACATCCAGAAACTCCGTGAGAGCAGGCAAGTATTGTTCATGCCGTCTTATTTAATACATTTATTCTTACCTTGAATTTGATAAGTAATTTCAATGCTTCAATAGGGGTTTTTAATATTGGGTTTATATGATATGTAAATTTTGATAATATCTATAAATGTAGAAAATCCAAGTGGCTGGCTAAAACCAAGGGGAGTTTTTTCCCCTTAAATGTAGTATAGCATAATTTTGGCTTTCTGATATCCTATGTAGGTGTGTGTGTAAAGAAGCAAAACTCCAAAAGGGGTGTCCTTCAGGTACCCCTTCATTCTTTCTCTAACATTTTACCTACTGTCACACCTTGGTTATTTTCTCAAAGAAAATGAGTACACTAAACCTTTCTCTGGTATTTTCAGGTAGGCTTTTAGTTGAGGGTTTAGATTTCATTTTGTTCAGTATAATGTTTAGGAAAGTGAATTCTTGGATAGAAATTAAAAGTGCAGTGAAAGAAATAAATGGTAAGAGATAGTTTTTCTTAGATATTCTTCTTAGGGGAAGATGCCAAAAAGAAATGTAGCAAATCTATTCAAGAGAATAGTTGTTTTAGAAAGGGCTTCAGCGAAAAGGCCCCCTGAACCTCTCTTACTGGTCAAAGTTTGAAAACATCGATATTTCTTTGGAATGTTCTGGTATCCCCAATTGATTGCACTCTATTTGTGTTTATATTTGCTTCCCCAGTCTATTTACATTTGACAAAACAAACAATGCATTGAATTCTCCGGAGAAACTGGAGTGAAAAAACTAGAAAACCAAACACAAATCCACAAAACAGCTGTCTTACCTTCTTTTGCAGTGGTTCTTACCTATAAAAAGCAAATAAAGAAATCTGCCCAGATCAAGTATTAGGCAACAGTAACAAAGTTATACTTTTCTTTATAGTTACTTTTTAATATGTCAATGAAATATTCTGGTGTAAGACAATAAGAGTATTTAACTTTTTTGTTTCTTTAAAGAGAAAGAGCTCTCTACCCCAGTAGGAGAGTTTCTTATAGGGGAAACTCCACATTTGTTTGTTTTTCATAGCTTGCTCTATCTTTTGACTCCCATCATCTGATCATCTTTTATACCATTAATACTAATGACACGTCTAACATGACTCATCCTGATGATGTATTTACGATCTTACGTGCCATACTTCATGTAGTGGCAGGTTTAGTTGGCTTCAATGGCTAGGACTTCCTGCCTTCCTTCCCTGATGGAGTTTTGTGCCAAGAGACTAATTAATAATGAAGATTTCATTTTGAAAAAAAACTCACCATGCTTAAGCCCTGCATCGTGAATAATTTTTGCATTCTTTTCATCATTTACTGCAGGGATTTTTAACTTGGAGTGTGGGATTTGGGAGTACTAATGAAGCAGACCGTATTAGAATCTAGGAGTGATCTTTTAAAATTGTGCTTTGAACCTTTTGTTTCTGAACATGAGAAAGTTTTAATTATGCAACCTGAAGAAAGTATTGTTGTTAAACAGAATAAATAATAATCAGTGACAGTGGTTATCTCTGGGAGGTGAAGTGAGATGGGTAGACAGTAGTTCAAGTGGACCTCATCGGTAGTCAGTGTGTGTTGGGGAAATAGAAGGGCAAGGACATTTTATATTTATCCACTTATAATTAAGGAAGAGATTTACAGGTTAAAGTTCAAGAGACACCTGGACTAAAGATTCCAGCCTTAAGAGCCTGCTTCTTTAGTCCTTGTCGCCAGGCCATTCCCATGGCTTCATGTTGATGCTGTGGAATTTGATTCAAATGACATTGAATGAGTACCTTCTACACAACATGGAAGCATTTATGGGTGTATAAAGATGAGTAAGACTTAGTCACTATGTTGGGGGTCATCATGTGTGGGAAAGATAGTTATCTGTCCCGAAGGTACAAATTCTGGCAAAATAAACTACTCAAGATTTAAAATCCTGCCTGGCACTAATCTTATTTTTCAAATTTAACTCATTGCATTTGGGATGTCAATGTTATGGTTTCTACTATTCTCAAGTGATTATATATATATTATATATATATATATATATATGACAAAACAATTTCTAACATGGATAATAATAATCTCTCCTTTGGGTAGTTGCCTTTTTTGATCATTGTGAGGAATAAATGTCCCTAATATGCTTTTGAATAACTTTCCTTGGAAGAATACGGTATGAGGCCAAGTTATTTAGTCAAAGTAAATCAAGAAATGATCACTAGTCATACTGAGAAGTCATGGAATAACATCTGTGCATATATAGACAACATGCCACGGAGATGTCAGGATCTGTTTATTTTCATTGTGTCAAACCTAAAAAAAAAGAAAAATGTTGGTAGAGAGAAGTCCTGCTGAGATTCTTATCAGTAATGTGGGGAGAATTCTTACTTCGTAGTCTAGGTTTTAGTGTGGCTTGGGGAGAACAAGATTCTTTTATTTCACACAAATATTTAATTATCTCCTTCCACCCCCCTTTTTTTTTTTTAATAGGGAACGTTCTCAGTCGCATTCAATGGGGCCCAAGAAAAAGGTGTTGGTTCTTGGATCTGGCTACGTGTCTGAGCCTGTATTAGAGTACTTGTCAAGAGATGGCGATATAGAAATCACAGTTGGTAAATACGTCCTAATATATGAAGAAGAAAGAAAACTGGTTTCCCAGCATGTTGAATATGAATTTCAGATGACTATTTTGTTCATAAAATTTGAATAATTGATTTGGGAGATGTTAAAATGTGTTTTACTCTCTTTGACTAATGAAAGGAAATCTAAAAATTGGACTTTTTTATTCTTAAAATAGGCTCTGACATGAAGAATCAAGTTGAACAGTTAAGCAAGAAATATAATATTAACCCCGTTCGCATGGACATTTGTAAACAAGAAGAGAAGCTGGGCTCCTTGGTGGCAACACAGGATCTTGTCATCAGGTGTCTGTCAAGAAATGAGTTTCATATTTTTGTTATTGTCACTATATCTCTTTCTCTCTCGTCTCTTCACCCTTCTCCTCTCTTCTTCTCCCCTTCCTTCTTTTTTTCTCTTCTTTCTCTAAGCAAATTTTTCTTTTTTCTTTTTTTTTTTTTTTTGAGACAGAGCCTCAAGCTGTCCCCCTGGGTAGAGTGCCATGGCATCACGCTCACAGCAACCTCCAACTCCTGGGCTCAAGCGAGTCTCCTGCCTCCGCCTCCCAAGTAGCTGGGACCACAGGCGCCCGCCACAACGCCCGGCTGTTTTTTGGTTGCAGCCGTCATTGTTGTTTGGCGGGTCCGTGCTGGGGATTCGAACCCGCCACCTTAGGTGTACGTGGCTGGCGCCTTAGCTGGTTGAGCTATAGGCGCCAAGCCAGCAAATTTTTCAATTGAAATTTGCATCCAGAAAGGTGCACAAATGCATAACTTTATAAATTTTCACCTGTAACTATTATACATGTCAGGAAACAGCATATGAACAACCCCTCAGAAGCCCTCCACACCCACCACTCCGTTCACAACTAACCCCATCCCCCAGAGTAAACACTGTCCTGATTTCTAACATACAGTTTAGTTTTTTCCAGTTTTCAAACTTTATGTAAAAAGAATCACTCAGTGCCTTTTCATTTGTGGGCTGCTTTCTCTTATTTCAACATTGTGACTGTAAGAGTTGTTGGTGTCACTGTCTGTGACTGTAGTGTGTTCCTTCCTGTGTACTATTCCATTGTGTGACTTTACCATTATTATTTATTTGACTAATAATAGATGTTTAGATTCTTTCTGGATTTTGACTATGGTAAGTGATGCTACTATGCACATTTTAGTATTCGTCTTTTGGTGAGCACATACATACGTTTCTGTTGGGTGTGTCCCTGGAAGTGGAATTGCAGGCTGTGCAGTATTCATATTTCATATATTTGGGGGCCTAGTTCATCCTTACAGAGCTACAATGAAATCAGTAGATTCTCTAACCTTGTGGCCATTTTGAGTCTCATCATAGTAGGTCTTGAAATAAAGTTATTTATTACTACCTAATAAAAGTATAGTCCTAACTCTTATTTATTACTACCTAATAAAAGTATAGTCCTAACAGCTACATAAGGTTTACTCTACAATTAAACTTGGATTGAAAGGTCAAAGTGATGAGAATATTCTATATTTCATATAATTTTCTAAGCTGGGAGGAAAAAAATTATCTGCTTACTCATAATGACTACCTAATCACTTTGGTACTTAGATCTGATTTGAATTCTATTTTTAGAGGAAGTTTTGTGATGTTTCACTTAAAAAAAACCAAACAAACTTGGAAAACAGATACAATGAACAGTAATTCTACTTACAGGGAGAAACTTTAACATTATCTCTTGATATCTTTAAATATAAGCCTACCTACCCTGTGCAATTAAAATGTTGCTTACTTTATATAAATTTTAGGCGCATTAATTTTTATTCAGGATAAATTGACTGATGATGAATAGACCTTTTCTGATAGTGATATAACTACGGAAAGAAATCCTGATTCAAAATAGAATGGTTTAGCTTCTAAAACACAAAGGATTTATACACACATAGCTTCTTAAATATGTCATCATTTTTTGATAAAGCAAAAAGAAAATAACATTATAAAATACATTTGAAACAAAATCCAAAGTAAAATATGACAAGATGATAGACAAAGGCAATGATCTATTAATATGTTCAAATTTTAAATTCAGAAAACAGATGAACTTCATTAAAATTTAGCATCAACAAAGAGTATTTTATATCTAATGTTTTCTCATCTGGTTCAGTTTCTATGCTGAATAGCGGTAATGCCATTAAACACTGTTATCCTGTAGTATTCCTAGAATAGCTTTTTAATTTTTTAAGTTGGAGAAAATAAAATGTTTTGACAGGAACACAATGTCAGAGACGAAACAACAAAATGAGTAAGTATTATTTTATAAAAAAATTTATAATAATATGGACAATTCTCATAGTTTTTATTTTTCACATTTATGTTTTAATAACCTAATGCTAGGTGGCAGTTGATTTTGATGAGTTTCTTTAAAAGTGCCATTTGTATTTTGGGCGTGTTTTTCTTTCTTTTTTTTTTTTTTTTTTGAGACAGAAGCCTCAAGCTGTCCCCCTGGGTAGAGTGCTGTGGCATCTCAGCTCATAGCAACCTCCCACTCCTGGGCTCAAGCGCGTCTCCTGCCTCAGCCTCCCAAGTAGCTGGGACCACAGGCGCCCGCCACAACGCCTGGCCATTTTTTGGTTACAGCAGTCATTGTTGGTTGGTGGGCCCGGGCTGGATTTGAACCCGCCACCTTGGGTGTACGTGGCTGGCGCCTTAGCCACTTGAGCCACAGGCGCCGAGCCTTGGGCATGTTTTTCACAAGTGATATTTACAACCCTTTCCATTAGTTGAGTTGGAGTCAACTCAAATAATTCAAGACTTGTGTCCCATTGTGTGCTTACAGAATCACATTCAAAATGATTAAGGAACTCTGATCTCTTTATTTTTTTTTTAAAAAGCACCTCCAACAAAAGTCCTATCATTCCAATCTGCATATTAGGTCATGTAAATAATGGCGAAGTTTTAAAATAATGTTAGATCCTGGTGAAATTTTGATCAAATTTTCAATGTGGAGGAACATGATCAAATTTTCCCGCTTAACCTTTACAATGATGACATTGTGCATTTCTTATTAATACTTCAATTTCAATGGTTTTGCAAATGGTTAAACGACAGAGAACTTTTATAGAAGCCTTTGATACTGGTAAAGGCAAGTCATCTAGCAAAAGCTAGAAATCTAGCAAAGCTTCTTAGAGTAAATAACTCTGGGGGCATTTCTCAAAGAAAAGAGTATGTCTTGGGTGTGGGTGGGTGAGTGTCATGGGCATTCCAAGTGGAAGGTGCAGGAGAAGTAGATTCAGTGAGAGTAAAGTGAAGAAGTGAAGGCTTTGAGTGGAGAATTACAGTAGCTTTTTTGATCCCACATATGATTTTTGGAAGAAACTGTGCCTTGCACAGGGTAGGGCTGAAAAAGAAAGCTGACCAGTTTCTCTCTCTGTTTTTAAGCTTGTTGCCTTACGTTTTGCATCCCCTTGTGGCCAAGGCGTGCATCACAAGCAAAGTTAACATGGTCACTGCAAGCTACATCACACCAGCACTAAAAGAACTGGAAAAGAGGTAATTTTCAATCACTTTCAACAGAGTAAGTAGCTCCAGGTGTTGTTTTAATTTTATATCCAACTTTTCATTTTTCCTTTTCTACCTGTTGCAGCGTGGAAGAAGCTGGCATCACAGTCATTGGGGAACTGGGATTAGACCCCGGTCTTGACCACATGTTGGCAATGGAAACAATAGATAAGGCCAAAGAAGTGGGAGCCACGGTGAGCCCTGTTTACACTCCCAGTTTCACTTGAAAAAACAAAAAAAGTCTAGCTCCTTCTGTATACAAATGATCGCTCTGTGATTTTGATTAAAGATACTGGTCTATTGTGTTAATAACTCATACTTCAATTGGGATTTTCAAATAAAATACTGTAACTGCAGGAAGTTTTATCTAGTAAAACAATGTTCACATGTGAAGTGACAACCAGTTCCTAGAGAAATAGATGCTGCTAGAATGTTTTGGTTTAATGAAAAGTTAGCCTGCCTTAGAGATTCTGTAATAAGTTTTGATGTTCAAAAGTAGAAAAAATCGGGGGAACATTATCAATTGGTTGGTGTACAGAGTATCTATTTTATATTACAATGTATTAGTGGATGTGCAAATGTGATGGTTCAGATCAATTGTTTTACCTTTTTCATATATATGTTCACACACATCTATACAGAGGGTGCCAAAAAATGTATATGCATTTTAAGAAAGCAAAATTGTATTAAAATTAAAATACTCAATATATACTATACCCAAAGATGAATACAAAGTTGTGATGAATACCTCTTATAATTGTAGAAGTCAAATGTGACTTGAGTCTTACAAATTTAATATCGTTTTTCCTTTCTTAAAATGTGTATATTTTTTGTCACCCTCTGTATATATATATATATATATATAATCACACATATAATTTGAATAAAAAAATCAGTAACAACTGACCAAGGAGGATTGAACTAATAGTCAGATAGTCACTATATCCAGAGAGTTTTTTCTTTATAATACATACCAAATATATCTGTGACTTATTAAGTGGTGTTTGGCTTCTGGGGTGTATTTTTGAATGCCATATCAACTTTCAGAAAGAAAAACTACAGCAGCTTTCTACCATTTACGTCATTGTCCTCAATTACTTCAAGATATATTCTCTCTAACTTGTTGGTGATTCTCTCTAAGTTATTGATCCTTTCATTTACAGGTTGAATCTTACATTTCCTACTGCGGTGGGCTTCCAGCCCCTGAACATTCAGACAACCCTTTGAGATACAAATTTAGCTGGAGTCCAGTGGGAGTTTTGATGAACGTGATGCAGCCCGCTACCTATCTGCTCAATGGCCAGGTGAAGGCATAGCACTGAAGGGTTATGCTCTAAATCTGTGGTAGCTTCCTAGACAGCCCAGACTGTCTCTTCTGATACTGGGGCCCTTGACAGTAGCCATGCTGCCCGCCTCCCGTTGTTCCCTCCCATTTAGTTCTTGTTCCAAGTAACCGTTCCCAGCAAAGCCTGTGTTTTTTCTTCTCTCTTTGCCTCCCTGCAAGTTGCCTCTGCAGTTTGAAAATTCACTTCCAGCTTCACGTATGTATAAACACTTGGTCGTTTTTGATTTATTTCAGCATGACAAACTTTACTGAGTACCACGTGTTGGGCTTTGGGCAAGCACCAAAGAAGGACCGTGACATTGAGTGAAGTTCCAACCTCAGAAACCTCACAGCTGGATGGGTGGAGAAGGGTTTGCTCTCAGAGTGGAGGGCTTATGCATCAGGAAAAGAAACTAAAATTTCTTCCCCAGCTGCTGTGTAGCAGAACTTAATCTTTCAGAATTTAGTATTATTTTCATTATTTTACAAGGAAACTATGGCTCAGAGAGAGACTGTCCCCAGTCCTTTGGCTGGGATTCAAACCCAGGTCTCACTAACTCCAAAGCTCTTTTCCTTCTCCTTTTGCCAAACTATTTAATAGCAGAAAAGGCAGATGCCAGAGTAAATAACTATAATCTAATGGGAGAAGTTCAAAAGCATGCTACCATGCCGGAGAAGCCCGGATGGAGGGCAGCCGATCTGGCCTTGGTGAAGATGTGGGAGGTGGGGAGGGTGGGGAGAAGGGAGACTAGGGAGAAGAAGGACCTGGCCTTGAAGGATCTGCCGGTGCCAGCCAGGGGAGAACACTGCCACTCAGGCTACAGCAGGTTTCTAAGAGAGAAATCAGGTGTAGAACCACAGCTCTAAATGTATTTCAGGGGAAAGTGAAAACATTTCTTAAGGCATAAGGTGAGGGTTATAATCAGCCATGGTCTTTTGTGCCCATGATATAGAGCATGCCTCACAGACTCAGCTCTACAGTGGAGCCACAAGGGGAGTTTATGACGTACCAATGGCTGGGCCTTGTCCCCAAAGATTCTGCTGTGTCTGGGGTTTTTCTTTTTTTAATCTCCCCAACTGATTGTAACATGCAGCTGAGTTTGAGAACAACTGAATAAGGATCACATAACTACAACTGCACATAAAATACTGCTCAACAAGTAGGACCCTGTAGGTGGATTCTGGAAAGATCATGTTCCAGGATAACGAACAAGACTGATGCGTTCTGGTACAAGTGCTGGCATCCCTCACAGTGTCACCAGAGGCCAGGCAGCTGCAAAGTCCACTGGACACTCACAGATCTGTACTGTGAGCAGCGGCATCCCCTCTGCTCCTCCAGTTCTATGAGTCATGCCAGTTTGGGCCAGAATCTTAATCTGATTGTCTCCCAAGCACACATCCTCTCACAGGCTCCAGCCTGTCTCTGTTGCTTTTCTACCTTCTCTGTTCTTGGAAAAAATATTGGCCCATGTTTGGTATAAACTGACAAGGCAGGAAAAAGTCTTGCTTTATTTGGATAAAATGCTTACTTGTGGGAGGCCTTATCAATGATAAGGAAGGTATCAGTGACAGGGTCAGCAGAGTGTAACCAGGTAAGGAAAGAACAAGGCACTTGGTGTCCGTGGGCCTGGCTCTGTGCTGCAGCTCTGCTGGTGCTGCTTGGGGGAGCTTGGAGCCCTGTCTGAGGAGAAGGGCCGTGAACACCAGCCTTCTGGGGTTCTTGCTGAATGAGATCACATAGATTATAGTCGGCCTTACAGCTGATTGTCAGGCAGGTTATTCCTCTAACCAATATTAGCTCTATAAAGAAATCAGTGGTCATGAGAGTTCAGAGAAAGTAAGAGTTTGTTTTCAGGTAGCACAGTTGTGGGGGTTGGATTTGAAGTTTCAGCCTTTCATCCTGAACCTCTTTTGTGAAAAGGAGTGCTTTCTGTGTCTCCCTGACACCGTGGAGGAGCCAAGGGAAAGCACAATGTTTTGCTTTTCTTTGTTAAAATACTTTTTTCAAGGTCCCACTTGAGTCTCCTCTTGTGGAAGGAGCTTTTCCCGACCACTTCAGCCCCCGTTCACTATTATTTGTCTGAACTCAAAGCGTCAGACAGTTTGATTGTCTGTGTGCTCGGTGCTGCATTATTTACTCAGTAATTCAAGTGTCCTACGTATCAGTCTGTCTCCCAAACCACATTCTAAACTTCTTAAAACCTCTCTTGTCTTCTTCTCGCTTCCCGCTGTCTGCCGCCATCACCTTCCTCCATGAAGCAGGCCTGAAATAATTCACAGACATCAAAACGGGAGAGACAGGTGGCCTCGCTGGCTTCTTTTTAAAGTTAAAGCCTTAAACTTTTCCAGACATTAGGCAGTGTCCTATCAATTGGGACATATCTCATTTTCCTATATCCCTGCAGTTTCCAGCCATTTCTAACTTCTGATCTGATTCCTAACACATGTGATTTCCTCCCACGTATGTGGAGACAGTGATTTCATCTTCTCTTGGTTTTGCTCCCCCACTAGTGCTGGTTTACTCCTACACTGGTGGCATCTGGGAGTGACGTGGCAAAGCTTTGCCATCATCGTCTCTTTCGGCCTCCTCTCCCATTCTACCCCAGCTAAGCATATACCCTAAGTGAGAACTGTGTTTGTTCTGCAAGTGTGGCTTTCAGGGAAAGTGTCTAGCCTTCTTTCCGTCTCCTGCCACCACACTGATCCAGCAGCCAGGCCCTTGGAAACCTCCCTTTGCCTGCAGCCGTTCTTAGTGACGTTCTCAGATGCCTCACTGGCTGCATACTCTGGAACGCTGCACTTTGCCAATACACCTTCCAAAACTCTGATCCAGAAATAAGCACCATGAAGGGTCAGTGTGACGGAGTAGAAAGGGCTCGGACATTGGAGTCAGGTAGACCTGGTTCCAGTCTGCCTCCAGGTTATTCCCTCACCTTCACTTTTCACCTCTGCAAGTGGAATTGTGTGGATTAAGGATAATGTATATAAGGCATTCAGCACATAGTAGGTCTGGAATGAATGGTTGTATATTTCCTGTAAATTCCTTGTTAGTTTGGTGATCAACCTTACTGTGATTATTTGAGTATTTGTTCTAAAATGTTTAACAGTGACTCTCAGTGGTTGGGAGAAGTATGTGTGTAAATGATTTGGACTTAGAGAAGCCTGCATTGTCAAGATAGAAGGAAATACATATTATGTACAAAATAAATAAATATGCCTTTCTGTCCTCATCTACATCACTAATAAAGTGTCACACAGGACAGGGCTTATCAGTGGCTCATGGTATGCCACTGGAAATGTAACTCCAGATTGATACCAAATGATAATGATTACCCAGTAATCTTTGAGTCAGGTTGCTTAGCCAATTGTGATTCTTTCTATATGAATCTTTACTGTTCAGCTTAAATTTCTTCATCTTCTTCACAAAGATTTCATGACAGATATGTGAACTAACAATTTATTTCTGGTTGGTAAAGTGCTGGAATCTTGTAGTCCTTGCAAAATTTTTTCTTAAGAATTTTCCTGACCTTCAAACAATTAAGGAAAATTTAAGAATTTTCGTGGGTTATAGAAGTGAATAGAATTTTCATGGGTCATATGGGTGTGGTCAGAGTCAACATTTGCCTTTTTGTTTTGTTTGTTTTTTAAAGAGATGGGCTATTGCTGTGTTGCCTAGGCTGGCCTTGAATCAACTCTTGCACTCAGGTGATCCTCCCACCTGAGCCTTCCAAGTAGCTGGTACTACAGGAGCTTGCCACCTCACCCAACAGTTGCCTTCTTAATTAGAATTTTTAACCTTTAGCATTCTATTAAAGAAATTTGTCTTAAAGAGGTAATGCAGAAATGATACCTGTGGAAGTGTTTAACACGCAGTTCAAAAGGGTTTACAGGAAAATTAAAGGGAAGCATTCCTCACATCCTTCAGCTTCTCAGCCCTCTGTGAAGTGAGCTTTGGGACTGAAGAGACTCTGCCGGTCTTGACACTGCAGTCAGCAAAGCCCTTTCTTTCTGGGTTTCAGCCATTTATAAATAAGTTTCCATCCCTCCCGCATGCAAAGGCATGTGCAGAAACCCCCCTCCCCCAAAGAAACTATGAGAATAATTAAGTTTAGCCAGAGTCTTCTTCAGGCGAATTTCTGTGACTCCATCTTCAGGTCCATTTCCTGAGCAGCTCCCTGATGCAGTGGAGTTTTGTGAAGCTTTAGAGAAATTGGTCAGAAAGTATTTCTAATGTTGCAACCAATAAAAATCCAATTCCACCAACAGCCCCAAACTAGAATTCTCAGCTGTGATTTTATCATTCCAGAATGTTTTCCACTATCTCGAGAACAATCATAAATCTTGCAGACTAGAAGAACATTTAATCCTTTAATTAAGATTAGTGACAAAAAAGGAAAAAAAGCTTCACTGCATTTTGAGTGTGTAATGGGGGAAAGGCTGTGGGTAAGAGAAGCACTGAGATAGCAGAAGAACCAGCAATTTAACTTCTTACCCATAGTAAGATTAGGGGCACTTATCTTACTTAGGGGCATATTATCTGAATAATATGAAAAAAAAATTTTTTTTTGAAACAAAGTTTCACTGTATTGCCCCGGATAGAGTGCCATGGTGTCATCATAGCTCACTGCAACCTCAAACTCAAGGAATCCTCCCACTGTAGCCTCCTGAGTAGCTGGGATGGACTACAAGTGTGCTCCACTATGCCCAGCTAATTTTTATATTTTTTGCAGAGACAGGGTCTTGCTCTGTTTTGCAGTTTGGCCTCAAACTCTTGACCATAAACAATTTTCCCACATCAACCTCCCCAAATGCTGGGATTACAGGCATGAGCCACTGCACCCTGCTGGTAACATTATTTGAGTCTCACTGTACGTTCACAGTACTTTTTTGTTGTTGTGAGAGAAGGTCTTTCTGCTCCCTCTCTGCCATCCTCAGCTTGCTCCCCAAGGTTGCCTAGTTTAGGCTGTAAGCTCTGAACAACAGTGGCTCAAGCACAGTTTTTGGTAGTTGGTCAACATGCAGTAAAAGTTTGCTCACCGGCTGCAGGAGGGAATGGAAGACAGGAGCTGTATCTTACTCATCACTCTTCTTGTGCCCGCCACAATTTCTGTGATCCTCGGCTCTTAGACAGTAGGTTCTCATTAAATGCTCTCTGTGTGAATGAAATGTACAAGCTAGTGCCTGATCTAGCAGCCTTCAGAAGGGGTGTAGGAATAAAGAAGAAGAAGAGAGTGAGGGGACTGTCATTACTACTTGAGATAGAAGCTATTTAAATATCTGTTGTTTTTAGTTCATCGCTCATCTTTTTATAAAGCAAACATAAATTAGTGCCATTTTATGTAGCAGCAAGAAGAAATTGAAACTGGGGGGGGAGAATAGGGATAAGGGAGATGACTGTGCCCTCACCTGTTGACACTATGTAATGGTGTACGGCACACCTGGTGAGGGGCACCGCAACAACAGGGACCTTACCCAACACATGCAAACATTGTAACCTAGTCGCTTGTACCCTCATGTTAATCAGGAATTTAAAAAAAGTCGTCAGTGTGTAGAAACGTAAATGACTTTTCCATGTTGATGTTTTTGATGTACAACCCCACTGGGTGGGCTTATGTAACTCTTTTTTTTTTTTTTGAGACAGAGTCTCACTACGTTGCCCTCAGTAGAGTGCCGTAGCATCACAGCTCACAGGAACCCCAAACTCCTGGGCTTAAATGATTCTTCTGCCTCAGGCTCCCAAGTAGCTGGGATTATAGGCACCTACCACAAAGCCCGGCTATTTTTTCATTGCAGTTGTCATTGTTGTTTAGCAAGTCCAGGCTGGATTCAAACCCGCCAGCCTGGGTGTATGTGGCCGGTGCCCTACCCACTGAGCCATAGGAGCCACCCTGCCCTGTAACTTCTTTTCTTTAAATTGCTCTAACCTTTAGGGTTTTTGATATACGTGAGTACCTCATGTGCAAGCAGAATTTTCCTTCTCCATTTCTGCTTTGAGTGTCTTTTACTCTTACCTAATTGCTTGGGCTCAGTCTTTTAGTACCGTGTTGAATAATGTGGTCAGATCAGGCTTCCTGGTCTTGTTCCTGACACTAGAGGAAACACTGTAATGGTTACTGAGTATAATGATATCTGACGGCTTGTGTACTGACCTTATGTGGAGATCCGTGCTTTTGAATGTATATCATTCTGAATTTTTAATCATGAAAACTGTTTAATTTTGTCAAATGCTTTTAATAAAACTTTTGAGGTGATAAAAAAATAAGAAGAAATTGAAAGCAAGACCTTCTGTTTAGAAAAACTAAGGGACGTCTAATTTTAAAATTTGGGGAAATAATGGCTTATAATCTAGCTTCTGAATTATAATATTATGAGAACAGCTTGAGTCTGGGGTGCTGAATATGGTGGTTTCACTAAATATATTTTTCAAAAACTTGTATTGTTGTCCTTTGTGCAAGTCATGCAGATAAACCTTAAAGGGAACACACTGTTGTAACCCCGCGTGCCCCGCTTGAATGTCCCCCAGGTTATTGATGTTGCAGGGGGAGTCTCCTTCCTTGATGCAGTCACTTCCATGGATTATTTCCCAGGATTAAACCTGGAAGGCTATCCTAACAGGGACAGCACAAAGTACGCTGAGATTTACGGCATTCCATCGGCTCACACTTTGTTGCGGGGGACACTGAGATATAAGGTAAGCAACTGTATTTCAGACTAAACATATTCTCAGTTTTGATGTAAGTGATGTGTATGTTCAATTTTTCCTAGTAATCAAAATATTTAAGATGATAAATGATATTGGAGCCTATTTTGTCAGGACTTCTTTGATTACATGTCTTAGGAGACTCAACTCAAAATAGTAAAAAGAGAATTTATGGACTCATTAGGAGTTGGGGGCAGTTAGAGGCCAGTTTCAGGCTTAATGAGAATTTGAGGTCAAGTGACCTCAGCAGGATGTGGCTTCTCACCTCTCAGCTCTTCATCCACTATCCCTACAGTCCCAAGTTGTGTGCAATGGCAGGGTGGTAGCAACACTCCCAGCCTCTTAGGGCCTCCTATGTTATAATCCTGTAAGAATGTGTAAAACTACATCTTTTCAATAGCTAAAAACATTATTTTTGTCCCATTAGCTGGGAATGATTCCCCAGGTCGGGGGGATAAAACGTGCTAATGAGCTTTGGCCTAAGGTATGTGTCCCTAGAGCTGAAGGTGGAATTAATGTCTTTGAAACCTATGGGCTGGGGCTGGGGGTAAAAGGAGTTTCCTAAAAGCAAATCTGAAATATTTTTAAACCAAAAAATGAGGGTACATTCTAGGAGCATGAACACAAATGCCTAGTACACATCCATTGATCCCAATAGAGCGGTCAGTTGTAAGTGTGACCAAATCAAGACAACTGGTGCGATGGTTTACTGGCATAACAAATGATCACAAAGTGGGGGGCTTAGAGCAATAGGAATTTGTTCTCTCACCATTCAAGAAGCCAGAAGTCTGAAATCAAGGTGTGTAGGGGCTGGTGCCTTTCAGAGGCTTGGCCTGTAGTCGGTCTCTGCCTCAGTCTTCATAGCACCTTTTTTTGTGAGTCTCTCCGTGTCCTCTCTCCTCTCCTAAATAAGGATACCAGTCACAGGGTGACCTCATATTGAGATTCTTAACTACTTATGTTGGCAAATATCTAGACAAGGTTGCATTCTGAGCCTCTGGGTGGCCATTAATTTGGACCTACTACACGTATTCAACCTACTACAACCAGAGTACATAAAATACTACACCTCTCAATATCAGAGATCAGTGAGATGTCCTGCTGAGGCTGGGGTGTGGTGGGGTAGAACTGTCTCCTACGTGTTGTCTAGTGTTTACTAATTACCTTTTCTTTGGAAGATGTAAGTCGTGCAGACCTGTCAGTCCTGCATGCTTCTCCTTTCTCTCTTATACTCTAACTGGCTGTCACCTTAGCTGGCACTTTTCCTACAGATACTTACACCACCGTCCTTCGCCTCCTTCCGGGCCTTGTTCTCAGTTAGGTTCTCCATACTAATTAAAAGTTACAACTTCCTCCCCCAGGATGCTTCCTTCCCCACTCCCCTGCATGAAGGAGGCGTCAGGAATCAGTGGACACTGGGGGTCATGCTCAGTTTGGAGCGGGAAAATTGAAAACATTAATGTCTGAGTGGAGATTATTTCTGTGGTGTTAACATATCAAGCCTGGTCTCTGGTTGGCCTCATCTTCTGATGTCTAACTTTTATTTATTCCTTTTTTATATGTATTTTTTTTTACATTTATTGTGTATATCTAAAGTGTATAATACATGCAGAGAGTAAAATACTTACCATGGTGAAGCAAATTAACATCTCATTAGCATATCCATCATCTCATATAGTTACCTTTTTTCCCTTTGGAGGAAGGAAGGGCGGAAACCCAGTCTTTGCATGAATCCAGATGACAGTACAGTTTTAGTTCCCGTAGTCCTCATGATGTACATTATATTCCCAGACTTTTTCATCTTACAGATCTGCTATTTTGTATCTTTTGACCTACAATCTCTCCATTTTCTTCCCCCAGCCCTGCCCTGGTAACCACTGTTTTTATTCTCTATATCTGCAAATTTAATTTGTTTAGATTCCACATGTAAGCAAGACAAAGCAACATTTTTTTTTTTTAATATCTCACTGATTTCATTTAGTGTAATGTCTTCTAGGTTAATCCTTCCATCTTTTCTTAAAGAGAACACAACCACTGTTTATTTACTCTTTGGAGCTTCTACATATTTTATTTATGAGCAATTAGCATATACTTCTCAGCATTTTTAGTTATATTTTAATGTATATTTTTCATGACTCCTAAAATAGATTGTAAGCTCCTGGAGGGCAGGTACTTGCACTCTCATGAATTCGATGTCCTCATTGTCTGGACATCATCTCAGTGACAATGCCCTGAGAAGGCCTGGGAGGCTTGGGAACTGTGACTCTTCCAGGAGCCGATGGGCACAGCAGAAATTCTCATCTGAACTGAAGCCTTACCCTCCCCAGCACTGGCACATTTCTGTTTGCTTCAATTTCTCAATCTCTCTCTCTCTTTTTTTTTTTTTTTTTTTTTTTTGATCCAGGAGGTAGATTTTATCACAGATTTCCATAGTCCTTTGCCAAACATGTAAACGCAGGAATAAAGGATTTTAATAGATTTAAGATTGACAAAAGCTCTCAAAGATGTATACAGATCATAGCCATCCCCACAGAAGCCCTGAGGATGGAAGATGTCACAGTGTTCAGAACCACCAGGGGCACCATCCTGAGGAGTTCCAGAAACCCTTCAATAGCCCTAATATTATTCCCGGTTTTGGAGAGGAAGTCTCACCGTATAAGTGTGATGGAGAGGGTTTACCTATGCCCCTTCCCCGCCTACCTGTCTCCTGCGTGGCCTTCCGCCCCATTGTGGTAGCGCCTTCCCATCAGATCCTCCCTCCTTCCCCTTCAGATGCCCACCCCTTCCCCGTCTGTGGAGTTTCCCCTCCTTTGTGCACCCACGGCTCTGTGCTCCCCTCTCTCAGTGCTGCTATCATAGTCTACAGTGCTTGAGTCATCAGTGGTCTGGTGCTTGTGCAAGGATGTTCTTACAAGTTCCTCCTTCCATTGTAAGAAAGAGCCCCAGTGGCTGTTGTGTTAAATAATATTCTGCTGAACTGACAGCATACAACATGTGAGGAAATATGCCCTTATGCTGCCAGAAGACACCACTAACATGTTACCCCAAAACACAAGGAAAGACCCAAGTTTTGCCAGGTCTTTTATATAAATCAATGAAATTGTTGTGACATTAATCTCAGTTTAAGCTTAAAAATAGTTCTATCCATATCAGCAGTACAAGTGGCTGTTTTCTAAATGAGTTGCAAAGATATTTCCCTCTTTTCAAAAAAGCTTTTTATACATTTTTTTCTTTGAAGAGAAAATTTACATAGATTGCTTATTAATTTGTGTTTCAGGGATATGCCAAAGTTTTGAATGGATTTGTAAAACTGGGTCTGATAAGCAAAGAAGCATTTCCCACCCTTCGACCTGAGGCCAACCCTCGCACCTGGGTGAGTGACTCCAGAACTGCGTGAAGTGCGCTCTTCTTCAGAAATGCCTATTGAGATGGTCAGGGCTGAAAGTTGCTTTACACCAACAAAAGTATTTTCTTGGTAGCTCACATGTACGAAGATAAGTCCTAACCTGAAGTTCCCTTTCCTGACACTGTTACGGGAAGATGGGGAGAGCTGGGTTCTCAGACATCAGGCTTGTTGTGTGCAGCGTCTTGTCCAATGGGATCACTCACTGAGCTCTGAGAACAGATGCCCTTGCTCTCTGGGCTCCAAGCTCTTCCAGTCGTCCAAGTGGTGACTGGGTGACAAGAGGCATTTGGGCCTCCCGAAAATGAGAATCCCAGACAGGTGCTGGTGTATCACAGAACTGGATTTCCAACCTCCAAATTCCATCAGTCCTCTCATTTGGCTATTTATTATATAACCATGAGTAATTTAAGTTTCAGTCACTGACTTTATTCCTTTATCTGTGCTGTACCAAAGTCTTAGGGCCTCAGGATTAGAAGCAACCTTGAATGCTTGGAACTGAATGTAGCGTGCCCATGATCTAGTGGGAGGGCCAGAAATGTTTCACAAGGAGAGAAGGATCAATCTTACAAACCCTATTAAATCTTAAACAACAACAGAACAAAACAAAAAAGAAACCTTTGGTATGCTGTCTAGCCAGTATTTTTAAAATTCAGTTTAAGTTTTATGTTATATAAATTTACTTGTTGGACATGAGAGAATAAATATCTGCAGAGAGAATCTGGGGTTGAGGCCACTGGCTCGCTGGCTTGTGAAGGTTGATGGCGGCATTCTTAGGGGTGGTCCAGTATCCTGATAGCCATAGTCTAAAACAGGGGTCAATTAAGTTTTTATTTCAAGGACCAGAGTGTAAATATTTTAGGCTTTGTGGACCATGCAGTCAGTCACAACTACTCATTACTACCATAGACAATATGTAAACCTATGAGACTGTGTTCTTAGAATTCTTTTTCGTTTTTTTTAAAATGCTCCCCAGGCTAGAGTGCAATGTCACAATCAGAACTCACTGCAAACTCCAACTCCTGGGCTCAAGAGATCCTCCTGTCTCAGCATCCCCAGTAGCCAGGACTATAGATATGTGCTGCCACACATGACTAGGTTTTAAAATTTTTGTAAACAGGGGAGTTTCACTATGTTGCCCAGGTTGGTATTGAACTCCTGGGCTCAAGTGATGCTCCTGCCTCAGACTCCCAAAGTTTTGGGATTATAGGTGTAAGCTGCCACCCCTACCCTACTAAAACTTTTATTTAATAAAATGCTGGTGATCCTAAATTGGCTTATGAACCAGGTTTTTTGACCCTTAATCTACAGTGTAACTTTTCCTTTGGGAGCCTGGAAAAAGTCATGCTTAGAAAGCAGAAAAAGATAGGGCCACTGTTTAACTCTTCTTGCTTTGAGATTGCAAGGCCTTTTTCATCTTTTCAATCTACAAAAGAAATCTGGTTGCTACTGGCAACTATACCAGTAAGTATTTTCCCCTTTATCCTGGCCAAAACTGACTGCTGGAAAGTGGGGAAGAAGGGGTGAAAGAAAGTGATGGAGAGGATATAGAAGGAAAGAAATTTGGCTACTCAGGAGGCTGAGGCAAGAGAATTGCCTAAGCCCAAGGACTGGAGGTTGTTGTGAGCTGTGATGCCACAGCACTCTGCCCAGGGTAACAAAGTGAGACTCTGTCTATAAAAAAAAAAAAAGGAAAAAAAATTGCTGGCAAATGTGGCACCAACTATTTAGCATTGAGCTGACCCATTTTTATTGCAGAAATATCCTGGAATTCCATGCACTTACCCATGTGTAGGTGTGTAGACGTGTGTATGCATGTGTACCTGTGTGTTACAATTTGCTATTTCTGATAATTTCTGATTTAAGAATTTAAGGTACATTTGAAGTTCACTGTTTCTCAGTTTTCTTGCTTTTATTTTATTAAGGACTTATACTTTTTCTCTTTGTTTTTCTAACCAGAAAGAACTCCTCTGTGACTTAGTTGGGATTTCACCCACCTCCAAGCATGATGTGCTTAGGGAAGCTGTTCTCCAGAAACTAGGAGGGGACGTTACCCAGCTGGAGGCTGCTGAGTGGTAGGCACCCCCCATTCAACTTAGAGCAAAATATATTGGATCAATGCTTATTTGGTCCTTTCTGGTTAGAGAAAGGCCAAGATAGAACCAACTATGTTACTTTTGTCTTTGATTAATTAGCTGTTTCAATGTTGGCCTGTTGTAGAGAGATTACCATTTACCATGTTCATGTGGGGATAAAAATGTAGATAACAAGAGGAGTCACTGACAATTATACTTTGAGAAATACTTGAAACACTTCGCCACTTAGTTCCAAAGCAAAGTGGTATGGTTTTGCTTTCCTATAGGAGATTCTCTGAGTATTCGGAGAATATGACTTTAAAACATTCATTCACATGCTGCAGTTCACCATGCTGCTGTGCCATATGTGGGGGAACTAACCTGCAAATTGATTGCATAAAAAGCTTCGCAAAAACGTGCACTTAGGAAGCTTTGTCACTGCCCTGCCCCAGGGAGCAGTACCTGGGGGATTCTGGACTGTTGTTATGGTCACTTCACAATTTAGGGAGTCCTATAATCTGAGCTATAGTCTTCTGAAGTTTCCCTTTCTGAGTAAGATTCTAGGAGCTCCCATTTGCTTCCCTGATATGAGAACGTGTGAAGTCTTGAACTAATGCAGCCACCTCCTGTGCTTTTCAGGTTGGGCTTACTTGGGGATGAACACGTCCCCCAGGCAGAGTCCATTGTGGACGCCCTCTCCAAGCATTTGGTCATGAAACTTTCCTATGGTAAGCCCTGGAGTACTGTGGAGAATGATGAGATGAAGTCAGAGCAGCCAGAGAGTGGATTGGAGGGTTGGAGCCAGTAGGAATAGGAAGGTGGGATATGAGGCAAACGGCATTTGGACTATTTTTCTAGAGGGAAGAATATGAGAATTATTAGAGAAGAATCAACATGGATAATACGAGAAGGAAAAATAGCTAGTTTTATTTTAAAATTTTAATGCATTAGGGAAATGCTGAAGGAGCACCTCTGGGAGCAAAGCTGGCAGCCTCTGCAGCCGTGAACCTGTGTCTGTAGACAGGCTATGGTGACACTGACCTGGACAAAGGAACGCAATCAGAGTTCCAAGTTCCTAGAGTTTTCTCTTGGTCTTGGATTAAATGGCAATATACATAGTAGATAATTGGTGACCTTGTGAAGGGAAAGGAACTTGTGAGAGCAGGTGTGTAGGAGCAGGTGATGATATATAATACTTGAGTTGTAATGACAATGGCATCTTAAAATGTTTTTACTTATTTCAAGGCCCTGAAGAAAAAGACATGATTGTGATGAGAGACTGCTTTGGAATCAGACATCCTTCTGGACATTTGGAAAGTAAAACTATTGATCTTGTGGTTTATGGGGACGTCAATGGCTTTTCAGCTATGGCTAAAACAGTGGGGCTTCCCACTGCCATGGCCGCCAAAATGTTGCTTGACGGTAAGTTCTATTTATTTGAGGACTGAGCTTGTCTACGTATCACTTCCACATCATTCTGTGCCTGGTTATCAAGTGCTTCTCTTGAGTCTAACACTGACTTTCACTAAAAGAGAGCCATCTTAGAAGGTCTCAGTGCTGGCTGACCTTGTGGTAAGGCATATGGGCTTTGGAGGACTTTGGACTTTGATTTTTGTCCCATCTAAGTCACAAGATGGCTGAGTGTTGGGGTCCAAAGTATTTAGCCCCTCTAACCCAGAGTTTCCTCATCTTTAAAGTGGGCGTTGTCATCCTGAATTCATAATGTTTTCACACTTAAGTGAAATAACCCATAGTGGGTTATACATCAAAGGGCCCCCAGAATGTGTTAACTCCTTTTCCTTTCTCTCCTTGATTTTTGCTGTTTTGGGAGTGGCAATTATGAAATAGCAGAGGGTATTTACTTCCAGTTCCTCAAGAATATGGACCCACTTTTATAATCTTCAATATCTCAATGTATTATCAGAACTCACTAAATATTTTAGATTCAATGAATTCAAATTTTAACCCTCCACTCTTCCCTTAAGATCACATATATACACTATAAACATTGCTTCAGAATATAACAGGAGAGTAGAAAACATCAAAGCAGGTAGAGTGAAATAATGAGAACACACTCATTTGTTTCATGAGGGGCATCTCAACTAATGTCAAAGTAAATGATTTATTTGTTGAATTACCAGAGTGAAGAATTGGTAAAAAAAAATGGGGGTCATTGTGGCCTTTAAGGGAAGTGCCCAGACTTACTGTTTCAGCTATCCTCACAGGTCCCTGTGCCAAAATAGTCAAATTGGCTTTAATTTCTTCTGTTGGTGTTATGCCTTCTTAAAAAAAAAAAAAAATGACATCATCAAGCTAAGCAGTCCAATCAGGTTAATTTCACTAACTCACTTTAGTTTATTCCCCTCTCATCTTGGCGGAATTAAAGTTAAGTGCACAAACTGTGACATGGTTACTAAACCCAGATGCTTTCAGTTTAAAATTATTCCTTTTCCTGACACAATGTTGACTAATAATTTAGGAAGGGTTAGTTAAGCACCTATTTAAAAAATGCCTAGGCCTCCTCCATGCCAAGGCCTCATTGAGTTTACTGCTAGGGTGATAATCTTCCTGAGGGGAAATTTGCTGAGGATCTTAACCTTTAACACAACCTTTAAAATGGTAATTACACATTTATTTTCTTTCAGGTGAAATTGAAGCCAAAGGTTTGATGGGTCCCTTTTCAAAGAAGATCTACGGACCAATATTGGAGCGAATTAAAGCAGAAGGCATTATATATACTACACAGAGCACTATAAAATCATAACTGGGAATTGTATTTTGTTTTTATCTTTCCAAACAACACAGCTCTGCACATTTGTGTGACAAGCATGCTTGTTAATGTGTTATTTTTAAAGTATGAAGCATAATATGTTTTGATTAAGCCAATACAGTGGTGTTTTTGAAATATAAATCTCTATTTTGTGAAAACATTTGGAACAGGAGATGTCAATCATTACTGGAGAATTTTAATAATTCTACCATGTATTTTTTCTATGTATGTAAAAATAATGATCATATTATTTGTTAATTTATTGTGCCACTTTTTTCTTATAAGAACATATTTTTCTATAACCAGCAGATGAAATTTTACTTTGTTAGAAAAATTTTCTCACATAGCTCTATTTTTGTATGTTTCAAATAAATTCAGTTAGGTAACATTAGATTACCTATTTACATATCTTTGCAAAAATGTTACTTTGTGCCCTGTTTGTAAAGTTTTGACTTACAGTAGAACCTTCATGGTTGACCACCTCCCTACATCGACCACTTTCTTAAGCTGACCTAATTTTCAGCCACTAAACAGGCTCTGCATGTACATATCAGTACAGTAGGCCTATTTATTATGTTAAACACCTCGGTATGTTGACCTGTTTCGTACAGTCCCTTGGGTGGTCAACTTACAGAGGTTCTACTGCACTTAGTAAATGTCATTCCTTTTAGTTTTGAGTATTTGGAAAAGAGAATAGTAAGATTAAATCATAATCTGTATTATCACCTTCTCAGGCACAGAAAAAGTAGGTAACAAAATCTAGCACCTTATCCTGATCAAAAATCACTCCACAAACTAGGAATAAAAGGGAACTTCTTCAACCTGATTAAGGGCATCTGTAAAAACCCACAGCTAGCATAATATTTACTGATTAAACACTAAATTATTTCCTCCTGAGATCAGAAACAAGACGAGGATGTCTGCTCTGTCTGCTTCTATTCAGTTTATATGTAGGGGTGAGCCAGGACAATTAGCCAAGAAAATAAAATAAAACTCGTCTAGATTGGTAAAGAAGAAGTAAATTCCATTTGCAGATAATATTATTTTGTGCATAGAAATTCAAAATCCAAAGACATAAACTGAAAAAAACCCAAAAAACATTAGAACTAATAAATGAATTCAGCAAAGTTAGAAGATACAAAATTAACATGTAGGAATTGATTATATAGGTTGACAATGGGGTTAAGAACTTGTTCTAGATAAAGTGCTACATACCTCATTACTGAATATTACTACTGTCATTTTTAAAGTACTCCCCTTGGGAAGCTATGCACCAACACTTGTGCCTAGGCCACCCTTCATAGCAATTTTGGGACTCTTTATCTGAAATGGTCATCAGAGCTGTCATCGTACAAGGTCCAACAATTAAGTTCATGAACTCATTCTAGAAAAAAATGATCCATACGTAATTGCTAAGTGTCACTGCCATCACCTCCCCTTGGCCATCTGGTAACCACAGTGATGTCCAGTAATGAAGTATGGAGCACTTTTTGTAGGATAAGTTGGTTGATTTAATTTTAATTGTCTGATCTTTCTATTTCTATAAAGTAGTAATGGATGAGCCAAAAAATAATAAGGAAACAGTTCCATTTTCAATAGTATCATAAAGAATAAAATGGTAATAGAATTGTGAGTCCAGAAGTGATGCTCACAGTTTGGTTAATTGACTTTTGAAAAGGGTGCTAAGATGATTCAATGGGAGGAAATAGTCTGTTTCACTAAATGGTGCTTGGGAACCTGGCTATCCATATGCAAAATAATGGAAGCTGGAACCCTATTTCATACCACATACAAAAATTAACTGTAAATGGACCTAAGTTCTAAATGTACACTAATACTGTAAAAATTTTAGAATAAAACTTGGGTGTAAATTTTCATGATCCTGAATAAGGCAATGGTTTATTGATTAAATGACACTAAAAACACAAAAGAAAATAAATATAGATAAATTAAACATCATCAAAATTAAAAACTTTTGTGCTTCCAAGGACACCATTAAAAAAGCTAAACACAACCTACAGAATGAGAGAAAATTTTTATAAATTATATGTCAGTTAAGGAAGGTACTTGTACCTAGAATATACAATGAACTCTTATAACTGAAATAAAATGACAACCTAAACAATGAACAAAGGATCTGAATTGACAGTTCTCCAAAGAAGCTACACAACAGACCAATAAACATACTAAAAGGCTTTCAGTATCATTAGCCATCAAGAAAATGCAAGTCATCGGTAATGAGATACCATGTTATACCCACTAAAATGGCTATAATGAAAAAGGTAATAACAAGTGTTGGTGAGGATGCAGAGAAATTAGAACCCTCACACCCTGCTGGGGAATACCCAAGAGAAATCAAAACAAATGTCTACATAAATACTTGTGTACAAATGTTCATTGCAGCATTATTCATAATAACCCCAAACTGAAACAGCTCAATGTCCATGAACTAATGAATAAACAAAATACGGTATATCTATACAATGGAAAGTTATTCAGCAATAGAAAAGAAACAGTATTGATTCACGCTACAACATGGATGAACACTGAAAATATAATAAAGCCAGACACAAAAAGTAACATTATATGATTTTATTTATATGAAATGTTCAAAACAGGCAAATATATGTTTTTATTTCCAAATGATAAGTAGAGAGGGAGAGAAAGTAGATTAATAGTTGCCTAGGGCTAAGGGTTTGGAAGGAAAACAGTAACCTCAAATGAGTGTGAGGTTTCTTTTGAGGGTGATGAAAATGATGTGAAGCTGATTACGGTAATGGTGGCACAACTCTAAATACACTAAAAAACCACTGAATTGTATACCTTGAATGTGTGAACTGTATGGAATTGTATCTCAAGTTTTTAAAAGATTAAATTACCAATAAAATATGTTTATTATTGGGAAAAATAAAAACAGTCTGCATCTGTTTGACCTTCACAGCCTGTGATGATATCCAAGAATATAAAATTAATTCTGCCCTTGAAATAAATAGGTACTACATGTGGAGTAAAGACAGTTGAGGAACATCTTCTTTGCTATTTGACAAGGATCAAAATTGATGAAGCCTTCATCTCGCCTGTCACAAAGAGTATATGGAAATCAATAATTCATTAATAAGTAAAAACATTTTTGTTGGCTTGGTGTGGTGCTTGAAGGCTTTAATCAAGAGGTATTGGGAGGCTGACTAGGAGGATCACTCAAGGCTAGGAGTTTGAGACCAGCCTGGGCAACATAGCAAAATATATCACTACAGAAAAATTAAAAGATTAGGGGAGTGATCTCATGGGCCTGTAGTCCTAACTACTCCAGAGGCTGAAGCAAGAGGATTTCTTGAGCCCAAGAGTTCATGGTTGTAATTGAGTTATGATTGTCAATTGCACTTTACCCTACATAAAATGAGACCCTGTTTCTAATAAAATAAAATAAAATCTGGTATGTAATTTCTTTTTTTTTTATTAAATCATATTTGTGCACATTAATACTATCATGGGATACAGTGTGTTGTTTCCATATACAATTTGAAATACCTTCATCCAATTGGCCAACATAGCCATCATGTCATTCTCATAATTGTGTTAAGATATTTATATTCAACATTTAGAAAGATACACATGTGCCCTTATAGGATAAATCATAGGCATGATCCCCACAATAACTCTCCCTTCACCCATACTCCCCCCTCTCCTCTCCTCCCTCTCACCTTTCCCCATATTCTTGGACTACAATTGGATTATAGCTTTCCTATGATAGTTAACAATTAATTTCATAATAGGGTTGAGTACATTGGATACTTTTTCTTCCATTCTTGAGATACTTTGCTGAGACGAATATTTTCCAGCTCCATCCATGTAAACATGAAAGAGGTAAAGTCTTCATCTTTCTTTATGGCTGCATAGTATTCTATGGTGTACATATGCCACGATTTATTGATCCATTCATGGGTCAATGGGCACTTAAACTATAACTTTGAGTTCAACACAAAAAGTACAACTTGGGTCATATTTATTCCACTATCATACCTGGAGTTTGCTCAGATTAATTGGGAGCTGGGAAACTAGCTCCTTGAGTCAGAAGGAGGAAGGAGGAACCTGTTGAGCTCCCAACATAGTTAACTGGTTGAACTATAGTTTAACCATATTGAATAGGTGAGCTAATGTTAGTGTTGGTAGTAATGGTAGAACATTCCTCTTCTGTAATGATAGAAGAGGAAATGTCAGTAAACTTGATTAAAGATAGATGGGATTAAACACTACATTACCTCCTGATAGCAAAATTTCATGCAGAAATTTCAATAGTGAAGGTGGTAGTGGTAGAGTGTGGGGATGCTTCAGTGGGTAATAGTTGTAACCATACAAGAATATCACTCTACCAGTGGTCTGTAAATTTTTCTCTATAGAGGCCCAAGTGTAAACATTTTAGGCTTTGCAGACCAAAGATATCACAATTGCTAATTCTGCCTTTGCAGTGTGAAAGCAGCCATAGACAGTGTATAAATGAATGAACATAGCTGTGTTTCAATGAAGCTTTATTTGCAAAAGCAAATGATGGGTACATTTGGCCCTTGAGGCACAGTTTGTGTGGCCTCAGTCTAACCATTCTAGTAGACAATGCTCACATTTTCCAGATTTTTCCACGTAGTTGAACAGTCCCTGAGGTGGCAACCACCATAGTTGTAGCATTCTTGATGCTTTCTTTTCTCTCACTCCCATGTTCAACAAATCAAAATTTCTTCTCCTCTATTAAATTCTTCTACTCTATTCCTGATTCTCTACCCTACATGCAACTAGAGTCATTTGGGATACTCACATATCACATCACTTTTTAAAGATTAACGATGTTCAAACAAATCAAAGACACACCTGCCCCATAATGTGGATCTTAAAATGGTTTCTAAATGTGGAAAGGACCACAATAATCATTTAGTCAAGCTCCTGGTTTTACAGAAGAGAATATGCCTGGGTGTGGTGCTTAAAGCCTTTAATCAAGAAGTATTGGGAGGCTGTCACAGTTACTAACTCTTGTCACCTTCATAAATGACTTGCCTAATGAAGGTGACAAGAGTTAGTATTAAATTGGATCATCATTGAAGAGACTCAAAATGCTTAATGAC